GCAAGGTGACAGTCACGTACTGCCTTTGAGCGTGATTCAATACGAGGAGAAGTGGAACAAGCTATGAAACGTGCAGCAGCTGTCCGGATCGAACGTTTTGAGCTCTTCCTTCAGCGACGATAGTGGCGAGGAGGGTGTGTAACTTGCATGAATTTTCGACTGATTTGCTTACTGACATGTAAATAATCATGTACATAGTGCTTTGTGATCGTGGCATGCTTCAAATATTCGTCTTTCCTGCCTGAGACAAGTGTGAAGATAAGCGCCAATTGTAACTGAGCGGACCAAGTAAATGTTGTGCAGGCATATGTATAGCACTGCTGGCGGCACCATCCTTGTCGAGAACGATACAGACACCACTGCAGTCACACACCTAGGCAATTCCTGTAACACATGACACATTTAAACGTTTTTTTGGGGATTCCTGTGTCGGGTTCGATGCCTCAACAGTCCCAGGATACTGATGCCAAAAGGCAAGAACAAAGACATCAACTTCTACGGTACTGTCGGACGCCGAAGAACGGAGCACCGAAGAACGGACACCCGAAGAACGACCAGGCTGGAATGTCACCGAACACAGCATACCGCATTATCTCTAATATAAGCACAGTCTCCAATAATAGAACACCTTGGGGCGGTATTCAAAAAACAAAGTGCTCAGTCTCCATTATAAGCACACTGTGTAAATTCATGATCTGCACCGGCGAAAACCCCCTGAAATGTGTGTGTCTGGCATGAATTTGGCATGGCAACATGCCTCTGAAATGAGGTTGAAATAATAATGGAACAGTCTCCAATAAAGGAACGTCTCCATTAATAATAGCATGGGACGGAGGTACATTTAAAAAATATAGGACCGTGCTTATACTAGAGATAATACGGTACCAATGTATGCACTGTGAATCAACTGTGCTTGGAGTGTCATACATGAAAATAAGAACGGTCCAGGCTAGGAAGCTGACCCCCCCCCCCCCCCCCCCACCCCACACACCCACCCACAGTTCTTCGGCGACCGACAGCACTGTAGATACAAGTCCAACTGCAAGAGTCGGTGAGCCAGCTTACCGCCTATTGGGCAGCAGACCACTCGAATCTGATCCATCTGGATGATGCTCCACGCAAGGGTCTTTCTGCTAATCCAGGTTAGCTGGAAACACAAATAACAAGTAAGATGCCGACACAACAGAGTTACCATCTGGTTCAATACCATTCTAGCACTTTAATCATTTTATCACCGAAGTTGAAGTGTTCGCGTTTTCCCTTTCATTGTTTTTTTTCAAACTCTAAATAGTTATGTGTTTTCCAAATTTCCAAAGACACAAGAATGAAAGGAATTGTCTGGAAGGTTCCGTTCACCACGTGCCTCCGACAAAATTCTCTCCGATTTCATAAATCGTGGAGCTCAAAATGGTGTGAGGGCAGAAGACCAGGTTAGGGCGAACAGACATTTTAGGGACAGCAAAGCAAGTTCCCTTTTGTATGACGTGTGTCCGAGCTTGTCCAGTTATTGAAAAATTAGGTAGAACAGATTTTAATTTATCGAAAAGACCGCGAGTAAAAGTACACCGACAATTTGTGAAAATACAGCAATAGATTAAACTCGGATGGAGAGCGAAAGATTGAAATTAAAAAAGACAGGACCATAAGTCAGTGTTGGACAAAACTGATAACTCGTACGTAAACTTATGGTCCTCTCTTTTTTAATTTTACGGTAATAGGTAAGGCTTTGTTGCACAGGTTCTTTGTTGCTGTTAACTCAATATTGTATGCCATCATCGTAGACATGAGCATCAATTCTCTTATCTACAGCCTAGCATGTAACTCACAGTAAACTCCTTGGAAAAGTCGGCGGGGAGAAGAAACGAGAACCTTTCGACGTCAAAGTACGCTGGTTTCCCCGCCGGGAGCGTCCAAACCACCTGCTTCCGGGAGGACGGATTGGAAAAAGTCAGCTGGACTTCAACGGCACCCACGGCGTCTTTGTCGATGTAGATGAAGAAATCTGTTGTGCAGTTGTAACCGAGTGCGGCCGGGGATGGCAGGGACAGAGTGACACTGGACGTCTGGCTATGGGTGGATTGTATAACATAGTTATTGGCTGCATGACACAACAGGCACAAAGGATGGCAGGGAAAAGAGATTCAGAGAGGTAGACACTAGGAGAAAACGAGAGATAACGAGATAACGAGAGAGAGAGAGAGAGAGAGAGAGAGAGAGAGAGAGAGAGAGAGAGAGAGAGAGAGAGAGAGTAAAAGAGAGAGAGAGAGAGAGTAAGAGAGAGAGTGAGAGAGACAGAGAGAGACAGAGAGAAAGAAAGAGAGAGACAGAGAGAGAGAGAGAGAGGGAGAGAGATGGCAACAGTATACGGATCGATTTCTGTAAAACCTTTTTTTCATTTTAACGACAGATTTCTCCTCGTTAACTCGTTAGAACTGTCACTTTATTATACTTTACAGGACTTTATTTATAGTTAGAATCAAAACAGGCCTAATCCTAATAACAATGGACCCACTGGGAATAAAAAAATTGAAGAATGGTGTCGAAAAGTAGAGATAAGAAAAATGAAAGAAAGAAAGTGGGTATCGTATTTTCCGGAGTATAAGCCGAGCGCCCATTTTTTTTCGCAACGAAAGGCAGACATCTATCCTATTTATCAACGTTAATTTGATCATCGGTGTATAAACTGCACCCCTTTTTTGAGGTGAAATTTGAGTGTCTAAAATGCGGCTTATACTCCGGAAAATACGGTATATGAGATGAACAGCAAGCTGGGAACAGAGTAAACTTACGCAAGTTTCCAGCAGTGGGGAAGAAAATGGGAACGCGGGTCCACGATGAGTTTGCCGGTCCCAGGAAACCATCCAAGCCACACTCAAAGTCAAGGAGCTTGTAGTGGTGGCAGGCTATGCGAACCATGCAAAGACGACACAGAAAATGACACGCAGAACAGTGAATCATCCAGGGCCGTCGAAAAGCAGTCAATTTGGTGTGGCACGCCTCTGAAGTACAATTTACTCTTGGGGAGGGAGGGGTGGCTGAGCTGAAATATTTGGAATTTTCCAGCCCAAATCAGTGCATTAATGAGAACAGTATTGGACCAACACAGAACTCTCTATTCATTGCAGTTGGCTACTCTTCCTTACCGTCTTGGCAGCAGGACATGCGCACGTCATCAATTGCGACATCACTGAGGATGCTTGTTCCCAGCTCCACAGTGAAATTCAACTACGGAAAAGAACACACAATGAGAGAACTTCCTGCATTGATGATTTCAACAATGCTCACACGTTTGTAGCATTTGATCTTCTAACAATGCTCAGTTATATACCCAAGCCACCGTTTACCAGGCTCAACAGGGCATCCTTATTAGGGTGAAAAATACAAAAAACTGATTCAGTAGGATTGTATGCATGCATACTGCCCTATAAGTCTCCCGCCCGCAAAGTGAACGTGCACTCACACTTGTCCGCTTAAATTTGCACTAACAACCACAAACATACACGCATGCACATACACACACACACAAACACACACACACACACACACCTTGACCTTTGACGCCCATCGCCGGAGGCGATGATAGCAATGCTACGGCAGGAGCCATAGCAACACACACACACACACACACACACACACACACACACACACACACACACACACACACACACACACACACACACACTACTACTACTACTACTATAGCATGACTGCCCATTGGGCAATGTCACCCCCGGAGGGGGCCAGAGTTTGGAGTGCACCGTCATTGGCAGGACTTCTGGTGCCTCGTCAAATCTTGCTGTCGTCGGAAACGTTTCGGGCAATGCATGCAGATCAGCGGCAGTGATTCCCTATCGGCTGCAGCAAGACGTTTTCCACGGTTACAGTTATGGCGGTTAAAACCAGCCCGGGACTTGAAGCAGCGATTGCAGCGTTGACAATGCTGGAAGCAGCAACTAGCGAGAGACGCCGTCAATGCCGTATCTGCATGTTCAGGGAGTGCAGGCTGGCAGCGATGAACTGCAAGCCCACCCTTACTACGGAACCATCGGCAGCAACTGACGCACTGTGCTGAACCACGCTCACACACACACACACACACACACACACACATGAACTTGTACTTGCTCACTGCCAAAATTGGCCACGTGCGTCTCCTCGAGAGAGGTGGAGAGACTCAAGACGAATCTCGGAAAGATGACACAATTGGCCATTGAACCGCCCAACAACCGATACCCTCTCATGTCCCACACTTTGGGTGGACTTGGAAATGATCCCACATATGGCCTCACCACATCACAGTTATTGGTTGAGTACAAAGTTCAGGGAAAGGATTGACGGCATCAGGGTATTCGTCCCGGGAGCCAACAACCCCCCCCCCCCCCCCTCACACACACACAGATTGCCAACGTGTACACACGCGCACGACTGGAAAACACGCAAAATCGCACCTGGAACGTAGGCCCGGGTCTGAACCAGGCCAGTCCGCCCGCCCAGTTTGTTGCAGTCGTGTGCTGACCATGTGAACACCAAGTGTTGTCGGCGCCGTTCGCCGTGAGAATCTGCATGGCAGTGCGGCCGATATCTTTGCCATAGAGGCTCACGAAGAACGACACAAAGCACACGGTATCGTTGGTCAGCCGAGGAACGGTGTAGATGGGTGAGAGAAGTGAGGCACGGCCTGGAGACCTGGGTAGTGACGCTTCCACGTGGAAATATGAGCCCGCTGGGAAAGAACATAACAGCGAACACAATGTACTGATACTGTTCAGTGTTTGTGTGTGTGTGTGGGGGGGGGGGGGGGTGTGCATAATATAATTATATATTATCTGTGTGTGTGTGTGTGTGTGTGTGTGTGTGTGTGTGTGTGTGTGTGTGTGTGTGTGTGTGTGTGTGTGTGTGTGAAATGGAAAAATAGGGATACACTGGCCAGAAAAAGCCACTTCAATCAGCTGCGTGGTGGATACTAGGCCAACAATTGGTGGCGGTCAATTCATCAGCCTTGCAAGCCGTTGAATGGTGTGATCCCAGCACAAGTTGCTATGTGTGACATAGCTGTTCGCTATCATCGCTTCCGGCATGTCTGAGGTCTGAGGTGTGTGTGCACGCGTGCGTGTGTTTATGTACTACTGCTACTGTCGGGGACATTGAAACCCGCTGGGAATCAAGCGGCCACGGGGCACTGGCCGTGCAGTGGCGACCAATGCCAGTCCACATTCACGGTGTGCACGTGACCTACAGAGCCTGTACACACTAAAGGCAGTAAGAGGGCCTGCCCCATGTCACGTGCACCACCCCCCCCCCCCTAAAAATTTCGACCTAGTTTTTGAACACGCACATGACCATGAATGAAATGCACACCAGCCATCCTACACGTATGCGGCCGTGCACCCCTCTAAACGGGGGACCAGGGACACCCCTGCAACTCCTTTGAGGATTTTTGGTCACAAGCGCGTAGCATAGCCGTTGGAGGTGGTCCGGCTGGAGGGGTCGGGGGGGGGGGGGCGTTGGGGGTCGGGGGTCTCACCGGGAAAAATTTGAAAGTAAGGTGCAAAATCCTGCATTGCGGGCACTTTGAGCATTGTGTTAAAAAATGTGGTCCGGCCAAAGCCGGACAGGCCGCACCGGCTACTATGCCCCTGGGGGAGGAAGCTCCCTTTGTATTATTCCTTTTTCTTTCACCGAAGGACGTACCCAGAGTGCTGACAGTGCTCAACACCACAAAGGCAGAGCGTAGTACACAACAGAACAACAAGGACAATCAAGGCTTGTTTGCTGCTACTTTAAGTTTCATGCTCACGCAATCATCAGGCAACATGAAGATCGGGTGACTTTTTCTTTCATAACTCAAAGGTAGGGTTGTGTTCGACGTTAGGAAAGGAAAAGAAGAAAGAGAGCTCAGACTCGGATGGAGAGCAAAGGATTAATATTGAAAAGGAGAGGACAAAATGCTTACAGGTTATCCGTTTTTTTGTCCAACTCTGACAATTATAAGCGTGATGCTGGCGAGTCAGAAGGTGCAACGATTAGCACAACACTGACTGATGTGATACTGACATTCAACCACCTGATGCTTAGCTGCATCACGTCTTGAATGCGCAAACCAACAGCCTTCCAAATGGGAAGCATGCTTAAAATAATTGTTAGTGTTGGACAAAAGATGCACAGTGTTTAAACCTTTGGTCCTCTCCTTTTGAAAAGACCAGTTCTCACCATTGTTCGCTGAGCCGCTGCAGCCTGGCAGTCCGACAGTGTGGTCGAATGCAGGCCCCGTTCCCGTGCTCAGCGCTGCACCGGTGTAACGTGTGAACTTGGACTCTCCCGACGGGTCGGACCGGAAGCCGTCGCTGCCGCTCTCGAACGTTGCCGTGGAGATCAAGTCACCTGCGGCGCAACCTACACGACAAAAAGGGAAATAGCAATGCACTCATGCCTCGGTAATCCAGACCCCAAATGTACGGGCACTTCGGTACCTTTTTGGCGAGTTTCAGTGGAAATATTCCTACTCTTTCGTCACTTTCCGTGGAAAAGGTGACGTCATACGCCATATCCATGGCCTTTCTCCATCAACATGTATGTGATTCGGAGTTACGGACATTTCAAAGTTACCGGCAGTGCCCGGTCCCGGACCGCCCGGTCCCGGACCGCCCGTATAAACGAGGTACGTGTGTAAAGGAAAGCTGGAAAAGTCTGCATCTCAGACACAGCTGTGAGATATTTTGTTTTCTGTTCGACCCTCTTTCAAGTTGTACATTGTACTGCTTTAAGGCGGCAAACTAAAATCAATCAAACAAAAACAATATGGCGATGACTTCTTTCTCGCTCGACTTCACACCTACAGTGGAAAGATGGAAGTCATTCACCGTGCCACCAAACACGTGTCACTAGCATAGAGACCAGTGCATTGACGTACAGATAGGTGGTCAAACACCGAGCGAGAACAGGAGAGGCGGACAGAGTTTCAGGCAGACCGGACAGACGGACACACGTGTGTGACACATACACATACAAACACACACACACACACACACACACACACACACACACACACACTGGATAATTTCAGCACTTCACTCACCGGGACAGCACCTGACAACTATACCTCCCAGAGCGATATCACCGACTAATACTGAATCCATCACCGATTCAAATAACACTTGAAAGCCAAGCTACAGACAAAAGACAACACACACATACCAGTGTATATAAGTAACACCCACATACACGCAACACCAAACACAATATCGTTTCTACACTGATGAACTTTCGCTGACCTACAATTCCGTAATCACGAAAACACGATGGAAATTGGTATTTTCTTAGGACTGTCAAGACGATGACGCAGAGAGTGAATAATAGGGGGGGGGGAGAGTAAGTTGCATTTATAGAGACAGATAAGTCCAACACATGACGACTGAGACCTCTACAACAGGGTTTTAATAATTTTTACTGATACCTGAAAGAAGGTGCATATTTTATGCGCAGGTGGGGAGAGAGAGAGAGAGAGAGAGTGTGTGTGTGTGTGTGTGTATGTGTGTGTGTGAGAGAGAGTGTGTTAGAAAGAGAGAGAGAGAGAGAGAGAGAGAGAGAGAGAGAGAGAGAGAGAGAAGGTGGAAAAGAGAGGGAGCGACAAGCAACACATGGCAGTCCTCTTTTTGAACAAAGATGTATCTAACGCTATCTAGTTGTGATGAGATCGGTAGTCGGGAAAAATAACAACTTTGGGTCACCAATGCAAGAATCCTCTCCGATCACGCTATGGTATGACATCGGGTGGGTTCTCTTCTAATGCTGCATGCTAATTATGACACCGACAAGTCGTCATTTTGCCACATTTCTGAGTTACTCCTTATCCGATTTTCGTCCCTCAAGTACGGTGAGCCAATGATGTGGTGCATATGTTGTTACGTACCGAAAAGCTCGTGAGACCACTATCCTCTCCTCCAATCGGGGCTGAGCCGCTGTTTGTCGGTATGTGGACATCGGCATACGCCCACGTGCCATTCAAACACTGTGAACCCGTCCGACTCCAGAGAACGTTCCTCGTGCTGCCCGATAGCGTCTGTTCATAGAGTTCGAGAGTGCCTGTGCCAGGTGGAGAGAACCAGGAAGTACACACGTGCACACACGCACGCACGCACGCACGCACGCACACACACACACACAAGTACACACTGACATGTGCACTCGACCACACACACGCACACACACACACAGACACATGCAAACACGCACACGCATCTCATTTCTTTTGCCCTAAGCCAGCGGATCACAGTCCCCACCACAAGTGTACTACTGCTTCACCAGCACTCCTTTGCTAAGTGCCCAGTACTGTATTTCCCCGAATGCAAGTCGCTTTTTTTACACTAAAATTCAAGAGCAAAGACGGGGATGCGACTTACAATTGAGAGTGACTTTCTGCTGATGTGATTATATTGAAACAATTCGGCTCAAACCTAAAAATGGGGGGTGCAACTTATAACCGTGGAAATACGGTATGTGGATCATTGATGTCAGACTGAAAATGTTGAAGCTTGGCAGGCAGAAAGCATGTGGTGTAGTGCATGGCATTCACCTCGAATAGCCGAGAGAATGCACCAGTGCTATTGCTCCGCATTTGCTACTAAAAGGGGGGAGGTGCGTGTTTGTATGGGGGGGGGGGGGGGGGAGCAAACAAAACTGGTTAACGTTTAGGGCTGTCATACAGGTCTATATCCACGGCTGGATAAACGACATCTACTCACGATTCGCACAGTAACCTGTGCAAATGGTGTGCGTATTGAATGCGCAACTTGCTCTACGTACTGCATTGACTCACGATTTGCCTTGCCGTTCATACTGTAGTAGAAGCTGACGTAGCACCTTCCGAAGAAGACGTCTGGTTTGGTGAGGGTGGGCGACTTCAACTGCTCTGCTACGGGAGTAAGGAGTTGGGCGGTGTTGATGTAAGCGTAGAGTGTTGTACCTAAACCAGCACAATTCAAAGCATTGAGCATTACATTTACTTAAAGAGACGGTCAGTCAAAACTCGTAACTTTGTGTCCTTTCGTTATCTACCCATAATTATAATTAAATAGCTGCCGAGATTTTGTACATTAACAGTATGCGCTGTGTGCCATCTCACCTGTTGGCGCGGTAACTCCCGCTGGTGCCATGTTAACCCGGGTCCATCCTAGTGATGCGTTCGTGCCGTAGCCAGTCCAGCCAGTCGCCGTCGCTGCGCTAGCAAAATTCTCAACGTTGATGTACTGGCATGAATTGTAGCCATCTGTGCAAATCATGAACACAAAGTCAACGCGATGTTTGTTTTAATAATAGAGCTATGAATAAAATGGAGGCCGCGGACATCACCCAACTAAGTTGCTTGCTCGACATGTATGTGTATCCTATAACAATAATATAATGATGCAGAATCAATTTTCTGTCCCTATCATCAGTGAATTTTACGCAACTAAAGGTAACCAATGAAAGAAAATGTAAAAAAGGAGAAGAAACGCATGAGAACAAGTTATGCAGCAACTATCCACGACTGTAACAAGATGATAAACGGTCAGAAAGTGCGATGAAAGGGCACAATGAAAGTAAATGAAGGTAAATAATCAAACAGGATACAAAAACAATTCTTTTTGGGTTTTTAAAGAGTCGGCGTGGAGAAAGAAATTTTATGAGTGCAATAAAGAGTACCGGTATAATAGATGCAGACATGGCCAGACAACAACGAGTTAATGGAATTTTAAAGGATTTTTATGTTATTCAAAATCGATTTTCATGTTCCGCTCATCACTGACTTCTTGTCAGGGAAGTGATTGATTGTATCCTCGTATGACCCTGTGATGCCGTACTGTACTGCAGAAGCGTACTCCACCCCGTCGAAATGTCCTGGCTCTTGACCTTAGGTCGGTGTACGAGACGCACTAACAGTTTTCGTAGGGTGACTTCTTTTTCATGTAGTACTGAATGCCGCAAGTAGGACTCACCCATCCGCACCTCCCCACCTGGACCTACTCGAAGGGTGGCGGAGGTAGGGGCTCTCTGGCGGGATTTTACGGTGCATTGCATGTAAGGAGCATTCACGGTGGCAACACACAGGCATTACCACAAAGTAAAAGGAGGTAACGCTTTGACAAAGGAACGAAAACTTTGAAGCACACTAAGCAAAAAGAAGAAGAAAAGTTGATGGTACGGTGCTGCTCAATGAAATCCAGTCGCGTCACTCAAGGTTGCGCCTTGCACTATTTCGCAGCCCAGTGTTTGCAGGTCTAGGGCTGCGCAACGCCCGGCACTTACTTGAGTGACGCGACTGGATTTCATTGAGCAAGACTGTACATGTGGAAAGCATTAGACAGTTTACAGAGCTGAACACAGAAAACTGGGAAAGTCCGAAATTGTTTAGGACCCTAAACAGCATGATCACCGGCGTCCCGTTGACGGTTGTTCAAAGCGTTGTTCTGTTTTCACAAACGAAACAGAACTTCGAAACACACGAGACCGAAAAAGAAGGAAAGTAGTTGCTATACTCTTGGAAAACATGTGATAGTAGACCGAGCAGTATAGTACACAGAACACTGGGAAAGTTCGAAATAATTTGGGACCCTAAACAGCACGATTACCCAAAGGGCTTACCTACTATGTTCGATCTCAGGAACGCTGCAGCAACAAACATCGTGGCGAGAAGCCACTTCTTCCACCAGCCGTATCCTCCCTCCATTCTCGTGGTGCGCCGCAACTGCCTTCTGCAATTGCCCGCTATTCTAAGCATGCATGTTGGTGCGCTACTTCAACGCAGAAGAAGTCATTCATTTTTTCCGCTCGACATTTCACGACCCCTGCGGGCCTTCCAATCGGACGGGAAGCTTCTTCGTCACCGGGGAAAAAGGCCCGACGGAGAACACAAAATGGTTCAAGTGTTACCCGGCCAGCGGAAAGACTATGAGCAAGCAATGGCTGGCGAACCACGAACTACAGCCAAACTCTCGACCCTGGACCGCCGCGAGAATCTTTTTGCTTCTCGCTGTCGGTGCGGACTCAGCGGTTGTTGGAAGGTTCGGAACAGAGTCAATCTTTTGTAGGCCGAACGACGTTATGTACTCATCCACCTACGTCATGTCGCCTTGTAGGCTATCCTAGCCACATAGTAGCGAGGTCAGACGCGTGACCAGTTCACGGACTTCGCTTGTCGCGCTTGGACCATCCCCGGCCCATTGAAAATCGATGATGTCATGGCACATAGGTTTTTACTCGATTTTTCGATTTTTACGGGAGGCATCAAAACTGACCTGCGTTTGAACTTCGCTTGTGCAGTCTCCTTGCTCTTTTTGGGCGATTTCAAGTTTCTAGTCCTTTGGTAAGGATATGGAGTAATGCCTCCACCCGTTCGCGCGGCGTCCAGACGTTTCTCTGTCGACGCGCTGTCTCTCGCTTTTTGCCAATATTCGAGGGCGGGTTTCGGTCCTTGCGCCTCTTGTTACGCCTTAGGTTGTTGCTGCATCGTGTTCAGCGCCCCCTAATCCTTCAGACTACCAAGTTTCATTGGCGTAACAAGAGGCGCACCGACGTTATGGCTCCCGACTGGTGTCACTGTCCAGCAAGGAGGATTGCTTTGGGAAGGCATGTGCACCAATCTAAAAAGCAACAGAAGCAAGCGAATCGCCATCAACCCGATTAAACTTCGCTTGCGTCTGGTGTGCAGCATTTTGTATCTATTCAGAAGCTTGTTGGTGATTAAGGTAAGGAGATGGCTACTTCAGTCCCGGTCCCAGGTACTGTTTCGGAAAGCTATGTCTTTCTTACAAAGTTTTGTCCAATTGTATGCATCATTTCAGAAATGGAAACTATTTCCAAATTTCCAATGCTGAGTCAGTGTTACTCAATCAAGGCAACACTACAAATAGTTGTCAGCCAAACATAACCTGTGTGAGAGAGAAAGTGAGGAACGTTCACTTTCACACAGACCATGTCTCTAACAAAGTCTCTCTACTGTACTACTCCAGAACAAACAATACGTTCGAGCACAATTGTGTTTTCACATTCCTGATCGTCTGCAGAAACTTGTCTTGAGAAAGCGCTTCTTCCGACATCATCCATCAACAGCAGCCACCGCTCCCGTTGCCACCAACTCGTCATTGGATCCCAAATATCTTACCATCACCGGTTCACAGCAAATAGTACATGCACTGGCGATCCTTGAAGACAATTGCACATTTCCCTTCTCTGCAGAGGAACAAACATTTTCTCTTCAGAAAGTAATAGTTTTCGGCTCGAGTGCGGCACGCAGCGGTGCCGCTAGCCGCTAGCATAGCGAAGTACACGCACGTGACACGCGAGATTACATCATGCACTCTCCGTCGCGACTTGGGACCCGAGTGCCGGGTGCCATTTTTCGAGCTCCCACGCGTACATTCGTCGCGACAAAAAAATCACGTAGTCGGGCTCCTTTCAACACCCATAACTCTCTTCCAGTTGCTCTAACCCAGCCCAAATTTTAGATTTGAACGCCTGAAGCTCTAAGCTTTCCGTAGATACCCAATTCGATAGGGTTTTCCAAAATTTAATTTTCGCCTGACCTCGCTACACATAGTCGTTGTACATTCACATGACTGTAGTTGGGTGCCACACTACACACACAGACTCGTCTGTCACTTGTCAGCCTGCAGACGTGACAGTACAGGCAGCCAATAATCGATGACGTAGGCGATTACTTTATGTCTCCCAGTCCCAACGTGCAGCCAAGCATGCCATGCCAATGTCAGTGAGCAAAAGTAACACAGTGAGTAGTTACTTCTGTCAAATGGCAAATGCTCCAGCTTGGTGGTTGCCTACAAAAAGGCTACAATCATGATTGTACATTTTTTGTAGGCTTGTATTTGTAGCATGCCTCTATTTTGTTTTTATTTTTATTTCTTGCGGAGAGGGACGGGTAGTGTAGCTACTAGGCCTTGACGGATTATGCTAATATTTAGGTGAAATTATGCTTTTCGCATTGCTGAAAAAATTGCAGAATTATGCTATTTTTATGCTAAAAGTTATCATATTATGCCGCATTATGCTCACATATGCTGCTAATGTACATGTATATGATGGTTTTGTGCAAAATAACAGGGAAATTGTTTTGTAGAGGGCGTTGTACTGTAGCAAAAGTTCAACGGGGTCAACGCACCGTCCGGCCTAGCTACGACCGTCACTGATTGTAATGGACTGGACATGTTATCAAGGGAGTCGTAAACCTACGACTTCCTGGTGCATCTACTTATTTATTCATTTCACCTTCCCGTGGCCAGAGAATATAGGCAAATATGGAGGGAGGGGGGCGGTAGCCAGCCATGGCAGTAAACAAACTACTTGTACTTGTTAGGGACCGGCGGATTCTGCTCGAAAAGGTGGCAGATTCTGCTCGAAAAGCAGTAAAATTGGCAGAACCATACAAACCTTATGGCGGGCAATTCCTCGAATTCTGCTGTATTTCTTTATCCACATATTAAACATGCATGAAACTTACCAGAAAAAGTACCGAATTCTGCCAATTTTTCTGCCAGCAGAATCCGCTGGACCCTATTAATTGTACTTGTAGAACATGTACAACTGTATGGAATTTGATGCGAACAGGCGGATTATTACAATTTATGCGATTCGTATGCAATTTGCCTCGAATTATGCGCTTAATATTCAATTTTGGTAGGAATTATGCGAAACATTATGCTAGCATAATCTGTCAAGGCCTAGTAGCTACAGCAAGACGTTTGTGTCAACATCAACATCGTCGGGATTCTCCCACAAACCATTAATTTTTTTCCGACAGGCTATGGACCTATAATAGGCTAGAGTAGAGAGCAGACGACGTGTGGCGCTGTCAAATGCAATGTCTCTCCCCATATAAGTAGCGAACTTGCTCAGAGCAGGTCCAGCTGTCAGACACAGCGATGTCAAATCGTCAGAATCGTCGCGTGAGCACGTGACTAACACTGACTTGACAATGACAACTATACAGTAAAACCTGTCAAGGCGACCACTCGGATAAGGCGACCACCTGTCCTAGAAGACCACCGCAACCAGGACCAAGGGATGCTACTTCCAGTCAATTCAGTGATACTGGATAAGGAGACCACCTGGCAACAGAGACCACATCTTGAAGGTCCCTTGAACGGTCGTCTTAGACAGGTTTCTCTGTAGCATAATACGCCACGGATACATCGCCTCCAGGCTCCACAGCCTTTCGCAGCTTTGCTGTGACCTGTGGTGACAGTAGCTAGCCGGTGACGTCCATGTACAATGTAATACGCCACGGATTCAGCCTTTCGCAGCTTTGCTGTGACGTGTGGTGACAGCCTTGAAGCCGGTGACTTCAATGATTACAATGTAATACGCGGCGGATACATCGCCTCCACAGCCTTCCGCAGCTTTGCTGTGACCATGGTGACAGTAGCTGGTGACGTCAATGTACACTTACTGTATACTACAGTGCTGCGAACTGAAATCCGACCCCCCGGGCGGCGCGGCGCCGCGCCGCCCGGGGGGTCGGATTTCAGTTGGCAGCACTGTAGTAACCAGTTATTCTCAGTGTAACTGTATAATATTATGTTATTTCGGTACAAAAACTTGGCACCTGCACTGTAAATTAGGCACCTAAGCTTACTTGTAAATTCGGAACGACGCTTCACGCAGCTTCATTACAATTATCAACTCGTATGTATTGTGGCAACACTGGCCAACAATCGGATGCACTGCTACGTCACACAGTCGAACGATACTTTCTCAACGTTTCGGTCAACCTGACTTGAAGCTGATCAGGGTGACCAAAACGTTGGGAAAGACACGTTCGACTGTGTGACGTAGCAGTGCATCCGAGTGTTGGCCAGTGTCAAGTTGGCAAGATAAATTTACTGGTGAGCTTGAGTAGGCTGAGGTAGCTGAGGCTGAGGAGTGGTGATTTTCAGGCACAATCTTCCTCAGCCTACTCAAGCTCAACTGATGGGGGGTGAATTACCCGAAACACTGTGTATTGAGCAGGGAGTGGTGCTTTCTTGCAGGTTTGCCGAGTGGAAGGTGCGACGTGCTCCTCGTGTGCTCCGGATGGCAGTCGTGAGGCAGTCAAGTGTCAAGTTCGACAAGAAGCGTGTGTTCCTCGTTGGAACAATCAACTTCAAAACAACGAAAACGGTTGCGGGAAAGTGGCGAGCATCTCTGGGAAAGGGCTAGCCGAGGGTAGCCATTTCTGCTGAGAGCGCATGGAGGAGAAGAGGAGCAAAGATTGAAAACATTATGCCCGCCAACCCTACTAGTATAGCCGATCTCTGTCTGTACTTGTTTGGTTTCGTTTTTCTTTTTTTTAAAGTCCCACCTTCCAACCCGGCAAATATTTTAGATTGTGATAAAAACGATTCAAAGCCTCTTAATTATTTTGTAATACTTTAAAGTATAAAATAATATAAGAATAATAACTTAGAAGTTGCGACTTCGGCGGTAATAGTCATGAAGTTGATTGTTCCAACTAGGAACACAGGCTTCTTGTCGAACTTGACACTTGACTGACTCACGACTGCCATCCGGAGCACACGAGGAGCACGTCGCACCTTCCACTCGGCAAACCTGCAAGAAAGCACCACTCCCTGCTCAATAGTACACGGTGTTTCGGGGAATTCACCCCTCATCAGTTGAGCTTGAGTAGGCTGAGGAAGATTGTGCCTGAAAAGCACCACTTATATACTGCTCTCCAGGCCAAACCATCACCAGGAAGGTGCGACGTGCTCCTTGTGTGCTCCGGATGGCAGTCGTGAGTCAGTCAAGTGTCAAGTTCGGCAAGAAGCATGTGTTCCTAGTTGGAACAATCAACTTCATAAGAATAATATAATACTTTGATGCAAAACAAGCTCGGTGCAGCACTAATCACGGCAGGGGAACCCGACCCTTCACCATCGCCAACTCACGAAGCATGTGAACTGGACGGTGACGGGGCGACTGAGCACCCCGGACACGCAATACAGCGGAACGTAGCAGCGCGAAAGACACCCGACAGCGATAGTATCCCATCAACGACGAATAGCTACCTTCCGAAGATTGAGACGTGAGCAGGCAGAAGCGCCTGAGGAAGGTCGTGGATGCCGGCGCAGCTGCCCCATTCACGGAAAACACTAAAGGTGCAAAGGCACCACGCTCAACATTCACTACTCTCTCCCGATATTGAGGTCCTCCGCCTTGTAACATGCTGTCAACCAACAATGTATTGTATAATTATATGCATTACATGTACATGAATTTTCTTACATTTTGTACATGTTCTTCGAGAAGTACACTGACCTCTCTTGTCATGATGATTTGATGCAATTTTTCTTGTTGAACGGGAGCATCACGGACACTTCAATGGTCTCCTCCAAGGCGCTTCTCTGCTCACGGTTGCAGAAAGTTGCGAAAGTTGCACTCTCTTCCAGAACAACCAAAAGTTGCGAAAAAGTGGCGAGCATCTTTGGGAAAGGGCTAGTCCAGGCTTCTGGAAGAAGCGTCAGGATTAAACACCCTTACATCAAAAAATGCATCTTGCACACTACACTTGTTTGGTGCCTTCATGACAGGTTCGATTGACAGATCCCGGCCACAAATGTAGACACCTGGGGATGAGTAGCTTCCGCTACTCTGTTCCTAACCTTCGCACGTTCACTGAGTCTGCACTGACATGATGAAGAATTTTCACGTCGGCCAGGATCTACTTTTGGTTCGTGGTTCACCAGCTAGTTCTCGTTCACAGTCTTTGTGCTCGCCACCCATATCTTGAACCACAGTTGTTGCGCTCGCCGCTGACGATATTTATCCTTTTTTAGGGAAGAATTAGCTTCCCACCCGTTTGGAAGACCCGCAAGGAGTCGTGAAACGTCGAGCGGACGAATGAATGACTTCTGCGCTGAAGCAGCGCGTCTCCATCCAAGCGGAGAACAACGGGCAATTGCAGAAGGCAGTGGCGGCTCACCACGAGAATGGAGGGAGGATATGGCTGGTGGAGGAAGTGGCTTCTCGCCACGATATTCGTTGTTGCTACGTTCCTGAGATCGGACACAGTGGGTAAGCTCTTTGCACCGGCGATTTTACAAAAAAATATTTCACGGACAGTGCAAAACCATTCTGACCTATTTTCCCTCCCCCGCCATTTTAGATATTAGTCGGGCTGGTGCACGAACAGCGGGTAATGATGCAGCTTAGGGCCTAAAAAATGATCGAATTTTCCCAGGTTTCTGTGTACTTCTGTAGATACTGTAACAGGTAGTCGAGTAGTAGGCGCAGTGCAATCAACAAGAGTTAGCTGTTATTCTTCTTCTCTCAGGTACACACCTGGGCTATAATAATATTATTAGTAAAAGAAGAAGCAATTTGAAACTCGGATGTTGAGCCATAAATAAATGTGGAAGAGAAAAGGACATATGGATACGAGTTAAGAGTAACTCTCCATCACTGTAACATGATACTATTATACAGTCAGAAAGTGCAATAACTAGGCACAAAGATGTGTTGAAGCTAGGTGTCAGAACGTCGAATGTCTCAGTACTCTGTCAGTTTTGTGCCTAGTTATTGCACTTTCTGACTGTATATAGTATCATGTTAGAGTGATGGAGAGTTACTCTTAACTCGTATCCATATGTCCTTTTCTCTTCTAAAAGAAGAAGCGGCAAATAAATAGGATTTCCCCTCCGGTGCACACCTGGAGGTTGAATACTTCTTCTTCTCGGTTTTGTCGTTGCTATAAAATCTAATGAAATCAGCAATGCGCAGCAGCTTTTATGCAGCAGACGCCGTACGCTTACATATGGAGATACACTAAATATACATCAGGTGAAGTTCCGTATTAGTTCCGTATTACTTCCGTATTAGCCAGGCAGGGATACTACACCCTCCCTTCCTACAGATAATCACGCCCTTGTGATTTTCAAAAATTAGCGAAGAGTTATGAACACAGCGTCAACCGGAAGATGGCAAATTATATCGGAAATGATAACGTTTAGAGTAGACAGAAGAAATGAACTGATAACAAATCATAACGTAGAAGTAAAAGCACACCAGGTTCACACGATCTCTCGGGATCAAAAGGGAAAGAATGGTCCTCCAAACAGGACGTGAACTCAGCCAAATTTCTGCACATCGCAGGCTCAAACTGCCAGGAAATTCACAATTTCAAAAAAATGCACTGCATCGTGGGAACTTACTCCGGTACACACCTGGAGTGTAAAAGGGGATTCTAACACGCTTCTCTCACAAGGTTAGTTAGGTAAACCGTGGCTCACCACGATCAGACGCCTACCAAACTAAACTGGATTCACACACTCGCATAAAGGAAGACTGAAGAGAACAGGGAGACTGAAGGAAGACAGGAAAGAAAATCCCATACCTGGAATCAGCGTTAGTAACCACGGCGGCGGCTGGAGCTACGGCGGAGGGCGAGCCAGGTTTTAGCTTCATTTTGGTTGAGCCGGTCACTCAGAGCGGCTAGCTCGGCATCAGACAAATCACCCCTCCTCGTCTTGAATCGTGGTCTTCACATTATCAATAGCATCGCTTGGCGCGACGTAAAGAGTGATGGTCTAGCCAGGAAGAGTGTTGACGAAATTCTGCATTCCACCACGGAGACGAAGTACCAAGTGAAGAGTGGACTCCTGCTGAACGTTGTAGTCACTCAGGGTTCGGCTGGCATATACTGTCTACTGCAGTTAGTCCATTCAGAAAAAGATGATATCCTAGCTTTTGGCCATAAATTTGCCAAATTCTGAGTTTTTGTCACAATTTTGTTTGGCAATCCCCCATGGAATGCTCTTCCAATTGTGTTTTTGAAGTCTATTTCTCCAAAGAGCAAGCCGTAACAAGAATTGGATATCGGCCTGGTTTTGCCCCCAAAGCACCGAATTGGGGAATAACCATGAAAATCCAGGCCGTTCAGTCCACTTGCATAACAGTACATTTGCGGTTCGAATGACAGTTGACGTACCTTTTTTGGACACTTTTTCAAGTTTCCAATCTCGCGGCACTGCACAGTGTACCACAAAGTCGCGAAAAATCACCAAATACGGGATCTCTCCATAGCCAGCGCTCATCTTTTTCTGAATGGACGATAGTAATCATCAATCACCACACCACACGGTTGCACTCTCCGGCCGGCCTCAACACGTTGCCACAGCACAGTTGGTACTCTGCTACTTCAAAAATCAGCTGTTTCGATCATCAGGATCTCGTGAGTGAAGCCACCGATGAGAAGTACCAACTGCAATGTCGTTGTGCTGATGGTGTGCTGTGGCAACGCGTTGAGGTCGGCCGGAGAGCGCACCGGTGTGGTGTGGTGGTCGATAATAATCTAGACAAGGTCAAATGCTGCTGCTTACTCCTCTTGATTGGACTGTAGTAATGCTGTTTCAGTCGTGCTCAATGAAATCCATTTGCGTCAATCAAGCGTGTGCCGGGCGTTGCTCAGCCCTAGGCCTGCGAACACTGGGGTGGGAAATGACCTGAGTGACACGACTAGATTTCATTGAGCACTAGTCTACCTTCAGCTCTCATTTTTTGTTGCTTTGTGTGTCCAAACGGTTTTCGTTCCTTTGTCAATGGGTTGTCTCCTTTGACTTTGTGGTAATGGATAGGTATCGCCAACGCGAACACTTCTTACATGCAATGTATCTGGGAGGCCAGCGCCTCCAGCGAAACCCATTGCCGCTTTCCTGCCCCTACTCCTAGTGAGGCCACACGGTGCACCAGATGTGTTACAAAGCATTTCGTTGCTGATGCAGCGCCGATCAGTAAGGAACTCCAGTTGGCCAAGTTGGGTCCTGAGAAACTTAGAGCGGTTCAAGCGTTAACACAGTCAACTTCTCTACCAAAATGGCATCATTATTATTTTTACCGCATGTCTCCGGGAGGGACAATCCGTATCAAGGCACCAGCAATTACTGTAAAACCGGAAAGTTTAACGACCAAAAAGTTTAACGATTTTGTTATTTTGGCATGATAACGTGCAGAAAGTTTAACGATGGCTACCTGGCCACCCATCTGTATGCGCATCTTAACACAGACATCTAGCGATAACGTTTTTTCAAATAACGAAAAATAATTGGTCATTAAAACGTTAGACTTTCAGGTTTTACACGGTATCACAAAGTCAAAGGAACCCCAACTTCTGTGTTCTAGTTGTATCTTCGTCCTCCCTGCAACGTTGTTACCTTCCTTGTTATTATTTTTTGTCTCGAGTCAGGTTTGTGTTCTTTGCAAAAAAATACTTTTAAAATAAAATAATAAAAACATTGCTTTGATCTTGTATTCATGATTTGCACAGATGGCTACAATTCATGCCAGAACATCAACACTGAGAATTTTGCTAGCTCATCGACGGCGGCTGGCTGGACTGGCTATGGTACCAACGCATCACTAGGATGGACCCTGGTTACCATGGCACCAGCCGGCGTTACCGCGCCAACAGGTGAGATGGCACACAACGTGTAGATCAGCACAGTCATACGCCGGGTTTTTTCTCCAGCCCTAATAACCAGTGACACCTTTTGGAAATTCCTTTTCAGCACGCCCCCAAGAACTGTTGCGGAATGGTCTTGCGGTTCTAACGTCTTTTAAAACGCAGTGTGCTTGTCATGTGTATGGTGAGGATAAATTCGGCAATGAAAATAGTATCGTAAAATACGTTTCTTTTAAAGGAATTGTCTACGCCTGCGTCTACGCAAGAGCGTACCACCAGCCAATGAGGACATGTTTCATAAGTATTGAACGTTTTCGTTCGCTCAAAATACTACAGGGATTATGGGAATCAACGAAATACATGTAAGTAAATCAAGTTGCGCATTCAAAACACACACCATTGGCACAGGTCAGATTTCCTTGAACGTTTTCGTTGCCATCACTTAAGAAGGAATTTACTGGCAAAGGTAATTCAATGAGTAGCACAATATAAATACTCAAAATGCCGTGAGGTGAAATGATACAAGTATCGGTGCGAACACCGAAAACTGTTTGATTATGGGAATGATAGAAATAGACTAAGAGGCCACTACTAGAAAGATATGAACTTCGGAGATACAGCACTCTAATTATGTGTAGAAATGACACGAAGAACAATCGCTGTGAATCCGTTTCATTATTTTTGTAAAAATAATGATAGTGGCTAGCCAATGGCTTGTACACCATTTCTTTGAAACAGGATAGTGGCTGAAACTTGATCCAGCCAGAGGCTTACTGGCCGAATGGGCACCACCAGACTCAAAGACTCTCCTATTCTACAAGGACCAATTCTCCTACATCATGGGTGGTTGCATGCCTGAGGTATGTTGGACTGAGCTTTAAACAAAATGTCCTCCCCCTTGAAACTTGGCTAGGGATCCAGTTTTCAGCATGCATAGTAACGCCGCCACCCTCAAGGATCAAGACGCAGATGAAACTCTTAAAGCGGTGGTAAGTGAGTAGATCCGACCCACCATAAAGTCGTCAAAACCTAATATCCCATTCGCTGCATCCATGTGTGCCTCGTGCCAGGCCTCAAGTTCCCAAATAACTGGGGGTCGCCGCACTGGTTCAAAAACCCTTCCGCTTCCAAACAGAACTTCAGCCCGGTACCCTCTGTTTCTCAATCGTGACCTTAGACAACCTGTCACTCTGCCTGCTAGCTTAGCTTTGGCCTGCTTAGCTTTAAAATTATGGAAAATGTGCAGCTGTAGCCACAACTTTCAGGATTTATTATGGACGGAATAACTTGGGTGCTCTGTTGTGAATTTTGTAATGGGGCGGCAAACGGGTCTGATCTACTCACCTCCCACCGCTTTAAGGGCTGCATCTGCGCCTTGATCCTCGCAGGTGGCAGCGTTCCTACGGAAACCTCAGCCTCTAGCCGAGTCGGACGTGAATCGTGAATTTCGTATAAATTTGCCATCTAATTTTCATGCATGTTGTGATTCATTTTGATAAGTGTGTACAGTACAGTGTAATTCTCCAAATGTTCAATGTTCTGATATAATGCTGGTGTAGGTACTGGACTATACGCGTACATCAACACCGCTCAACTCCTTACTCCCAGTGCAGAGCCGTACACGTTGAAGTCGCCCACCATCACCAAACCAGACGTCTTCTTCGGAAGTTGCTACGTCAGCTTCTACTACAGCATGAACGGCAAGGCAAATCGTGAGTTTTTTTGTTTATTCAGAAGTATAAACCTGCATGACAGCCTACAACGCAGTATAGCTGTGTGTGTGTGTGTGTGTGTGTGTGTGTGTGTGTGTGTGTGTGTGTGCGTGCACGCGTGTGTCAGGCTGTGTAATGTTCGGCGCCTGGAGTCCTTTATTCTAGTGTGTGTGTGTGTGTGTGTGTGTGTGTGTGTGTGTGTGTGTGTGTGTGCGTGCGTGTGTGCGTGTGTGTGTGTGTGTGTGTGTATGCGCGTGTGTGTGTGTGTGTGTGTGTGTGTGTGTGTGTGTGTGTGTGTGTGTGTGTGTGTGTGTGTGTGTGTGTGTGTGTGTGTGTGTGTGTGTGTGTGTGTGTGTGTGTGTGTGTGTGTGTGTGTGTGTGTGTGTGTGTGTGTGTGTGTGTGTGTGTGTGTGTGTGTGTGTGTGTGTGTGTGTGTGTGTGTGTGTGTGTGTGTGTGTGTGTGTGTGTGTGTGTGTGTGTGTGTGTGTGTGTGTGTGTGTGTGTGTGTGTGTGTGTGTGTGTGTGTGTGTGTGTGTGTGTGTGTGTGTGTGTGTGTGTGTGTGTGTGTGTGTGTGTGTGTGTGTGTGTGTGTGTGTGTGTGTGTGTGTGTGTGTGTGTGTGTGTGTGTGTGTGTGTGTGTGTGTGTGTGTGTGTGTGTGTGTGTGTGTGTGTGTGTGTGTGTGTGTGTGTGTGTGTGTGTGTGTGTGTGTGTGTGTGTGTGTGTGTGTGTGTGTGTGTGTGTGTGTGTGTGTGTGTGTGTGTGTGTGTGTGTGTGTGTGTGTGTGTGTGTGTGTGTGTGTGTGTGTGTGTGTGTGTGTGTGTGTGTGTGTGTGTGTGTGTGTGTGTGTGTGTGTGTGTGTGTGTGTGTGTGTGTGTGTGTGTGTGTGTGTGTGTGTGTGTGTGTGTGTGTGTGTGTGTGTGTGTGTGTGTGTGTGTGTGTGTGTGTGTGTGTGTGTGTGTGTGTGTGTGTGTGTGTGTGTGTGTGTGTGTGTGTGTGGTATCCTACCGCCCGTGAGTCCCGTGCTGACTAGCGGGCTATGAATGCCGAGCATGTGGAGAATGCGCCTCAACCTGGCCCAGTGGTATACAGTCAACTTCGCGTATTACAACACTCGGCGGGGCATCAAAAAGGTGTCCTTATTCGCGAAGTGTCGTTATACCCGAAGTCTCAATATATGTATTACAGTGGGACGGGACTTTGCTCTGGGCATGGAAATTCTGTCGTTATTCGCGAATTGTCGATATATCCCCAGTCGTTATTCGCGAATTGTCGATATATCCGCAGTCGTTATTAGCCAAGTTGAATGTATGCTGATTGCAATCGGTCATTTTCGCGCCGTGGAGATCGTGCTCGCCACAAATGTGTGATTGAGCGGGCCAAGCCGATTCCAGAGCGGCGAGGGGCTTGTCACTGTGGGGATTGTGGGCTTTGGTTTCGCAGCAAGGGTGGTCTAGCTGTTCACCGCTGTTCCGCTCCTCAGCCTCCCGAGCCCTGTTGAGTCTCTGTACAGGATGCTTGCTGTGCTGCGCACTGTGCTGTGTGTGCACTCTGCTTTCGGACTGCACAAGGTCGCGGTCATTGCCGGTGCTCGAGGACTGGTCCCCGCCCGACTGCCCAGCAGCGTGATTCGTTCACTCCTGTATGCATGTGTTCTCGCCCGTTCCATTTGCTCCACCATCCCGGCGTCATCAGGCTGCATGCTCCATCTTCCTCTCTGATGCCCCTCAGGGGCCACATGACCCATGGGGCAGTGGCTCTACAGGACAGGACAGGTGTGTTTGTGTGTGTGTGTGTGTGTTTGTGTGTACTTGCTGGTTCTCCGTGCCCGACACAGGCACTGTTGAACTGTATGAACAGACAGTATCGGGCAGCACGAGGAACGTTCTCTGGAGTCGGCCTGGATCACAGTGTTCGAACGGCACGTGGGCGTATGCCGATGTCCACATACCCCACAACAGTGGCTCAGCCTCGACTGACGCACAGGGCAGTGGTCTCCCGAGCTTTTCGGTATGTATCAGCTTTTATAATTATCATCTCATCGGCTCGCTGTACTTGAGAGACTAAAAATCACATAAGAAGTAACTCAGGAAAAATTACCAAAGCACGGCTTGTCAGGGTAATAATTGGCATCCAGCATTAGAAAAGAGGGTAGGTTTACTGGGTGTTACCAGCCGTCGTGAGTTCCCTTCGGGAACGGACACGATAATTTACTTTTTACTGTATTTGAAGGGAACCCACCCCCTGTCATACCAAAGCATGGTCGGAGAGGATTCTTGCATTGGTGACCCAAAGTTGTGCTTTGTTTTCGACTACCGCTCTCATCACAACAAGACAACACTACAACACTATAACACTATAACAAGACAACACTAGATACATCTTTGTTCAACAAGAAGACTGTCATGTATTGCTTGTCACTCCCTCTCTTTTCCTGCTCTCTCTCTCTCCCTTTCTCTCTCTCTCTCTCTCTTTTCTTGTATATCTCCCTCCCTCTCTCCCTATCTCCCCACCCTCTCTCTCTCTCTCTCTCTCTCTCCCTTTCTCTCTCTCTCTCTTTTTGTCTCTCTCCCTCCCTCTCTCCCTATCTACCTACCCCTCTCTCTCTCTCTCTCTCTCTCTCTCTCTCTCTCTCTCTCTCTCTCTCTCTCTCTCTCTCTCTCTCTCTCTCTCTCTCTCTCTCTCTCTCTCTCTCTCTCTCTCTCTCTCTCTCTCTCTCTCTGTCTCCCTCCCTCCCTCTCTCCCTATCTCCCTACCCCTCTCTTCTCTCTCTCTCTTTTTTCTCACTCTCTCTCTCTCTCTCTCCCTCTTTCTCTCTCTTTCTCTCTCTTTCTCTTACTGTCTCTTTCTGTCTCTTTCTGGCTCTCTCACTCTCAGTCACTCTCTCTCTCTCTCTCTCTCTCTCTCTCTCTCTCTCTCTCTCTCTCTCTCTCTCTCTCTCCCATCTGCGTATAAAATCTAGAATGACAATACGCTTGTTAAATCATGCACCTTCTTTCAGGTATAAGTAAAAATTATTAAAACCCTGTTGTAGAGGTCTCAGTCGTCATGTGTTGGACTTAGGTGTCTTTATAAATCCAACTTACCCCCCCCCCCCTTTCTCTCTCACTCTCTGCGTCATCGTCTTGACAGTCCTCAGAAAATACCAATTTCCATCGTGTTTTCGTGAGTACGAAATTGTAGATCAGCGAAAGTTCATCAGTGTAGAAACGATATTGTGTTGGATGTTGCGTGTATGTGCGTGCTACTTATATACACCGGTATGTGTGTGTTGTCTTTTGTCTGTAGCTTGGCTTTGAAGTGGTATATGAATCGGTGATGGATTCAGTATTAGTCGGTGATATCGCTCTGAGAGGTATAGCTGTCAGGTGCTGCGCCGGTGAGTGAAGTGCTGAAATCACCCAGTTTGTGTGTGTGTGTGTGTGTGTGTGTGTGTGTGTGTGTGTGTGTGTGTGTGTGTGTGTGTGTGGTGCCAGCTAGTTCGGTTGGTGGGTGCACTTGTGCCAGATAGTGTTGGGCCTGTTGCCAACGGGCTCGGCTGCTTGAAGGTGTATTGTTGTACCTACCACCTTTGTTGGTTTTAGGGTTCATATACTTTCTGTTTGAAGTATACATACCTGTTAACCATGGACTGCTTCTGGCTAGATTAACTCTTGTGTAATCAATGGTGCTAGTGAAGCTTATATCAGATCCACTCTGATTTAGCCACCCACACTAGTACCAAGTATTACCTTCACTGGGGGCAGGGGTACCTGCAGTTGGATCCCAGGACGGATACCCTGATGCCGTCAATCCTTTTCTGCACCTTGTCCTCACCCACTTACTGAGGTGTGGTGAGCCCATAAGTGGGATCATTTCAAGTCCACCCTAGTTTGGGGATTTCAGGGGGTGTTGGCCGTTGGGTGGTTCAATGGCCAATTGAGTCATCTTTCCAAGATTCCTTTTGAGTCTCTCTCCCCTTTCCCGGGGAGACCCACGTGACCAGTTTTGGCAGTGAGCAAGTACAAGTACAAGTGTGTGTGTGTGTGTGTGTGTGTGCTTGTGTTTGTGTTTGTGTGTGTGTGTTTGTGTGTGTGTGTGTGTTTGTGTGTGTGTGTGTGTGTGTGTGTGTGTGTGTGTGTGTGTGTGTGTGTGTGTGTGTGTGTGTGTGTGTGTGTGTGTGTGTGTGTGTGTGTGTGTGTGTGTGTGTGGTTGTGTGTGTGTGTGTGTGTGTGGACATGTGATAAATATTGAATCTTGACGAATAACACCTAAACAAAGCGTTAATAAAATTATCAATACCTTGTGATACTTTTTTTGGCATTGTTTAGGTGTTATTAATCATGATTCATCCTTTATAATTGTCTGTGTTGCAGTATGTTACTCAGTACAGCGATGCTACTTGATGAGCGTTGTGCGAAAGCTAGTTCGATGCATTTACATATTTTTCATCGGTCCTATTATCAAGAGCACATAACCCCCCAGAGTGTGCAACGCCTGATCCAACTTTGCATAGGGTCTTGGTCGAGCTGGAATCGGATCTTCTGATGTGAGGCGTACGCTCCACACCAGCGCAAGGCCGGTCTCGAGGCAGGGTGCCAGTGTTTTTGATCCGAGACCCGCGACTCCCCGGGTTCCCCTCAGATGTGTGCGGTATTATGACGCAAAAGTCCGATTGCGCTCGACCACTTGAAGACCCTATGCAGAGCTGGATCAGGTGTTGCACACTCTGGGGGGGGGGGTTATGTACTCTTGCTATTATTGATATTCACCTTAAATTGCCATCATAGTTATTTCTTTATCCATCACCATTTTCTCTAGAATTTGTTCGTGACATCTCAGTAAAACCTTCACGAAATGACGCTTCAGCTGGTTCTGTTTATCCCAATCCTTAAACCTGTTGTCGGTTTGCCTTTCTTTCTGTTGACAAACCTTTTATTTTTACACACGCTTGCTTGCCTCAATGCACTGGCCTCTATGCCAGAGTGGGGTATTATACTTGTGTGTGGCATGGGCGAGGGCTTCCATCTTTCCACTATGAATGAAATCGAGCGAGAAAGAAGCCATCACCCGCTAAAATATCTCACAGCTGTGTCTGAGATGCAGACTTTTCAAGGTTTCCTTTACACTCATTTCCCTTTTTGCCGTGTAGGTTGCTCCGCAGGTGACTTCATTGCCACAGCAACGTTTGAGAGCGGCAGTGATGGTTTCACGTTCGACCCGTCGGGACAGTCAAGCTTCAAGCGTTACAGCGGTGCATCGTTGAGCACTGGAACTGGGCCAGCATTCGACCACACTGTCGGACAGCCAGGCTGCAGCAATTCATCGACCAATGGTGAGAAATTTTCTTCCTCGCCAAGTTCCTGCTCCATTTTTTAAAAGTGTTTTGCTTTGCTATGCCACTGAAATCTCTGCAGAGGAAATTCATTTTTGATGTGAACACAATAATAATATTGTACATAATTGGGAGCGAGGTTTGGGAAAATACTGGTAGTACTATGAGCTTTACTGCGCCCCTTTGTGTGGATTCACTAGTGCAAAGCCCAAAATTATGGCCTTTCAGAAAGGCATTTTGTGTCTAGCCTTGACCCGAATCGGGCCTTGAAGCTCCGTGGCACCATCTCAATTTTGCCTATGTTGCAGTATTAGGAGTAGAAATTTCATTTCTCTAAATAGGGATGTCGTGATGTTTTAGACGAACTGGCGTTCCCTCTCACACCATGCCTCACCAATATCAACGAAAAGAAGAGTTTTCCTATCTACGTTCGCGAGAAAACCGGATGAATGACGAATAACAAAATGACAAGACAAGATAAGGGAATGTATTGAAGTAAATGGTGCACTCAACAGCAGAAAAAGGCGCGCGGGTCACTGCGAAAATGTGGTACGACAAAAGACTCGAACGGGAAGAGAGACCCAGACCGCAGACGGCCAAATACAATGTTGTTCAAATGGGGCCCAGAACAGGAAGGGCATACAAAATGTCCCGAAAAGACGGTGCAGCATCACGGACACAGACGGGTGACTAAAATACATGTATGCGCAACAGGGCTATTCCTAATGACAAAGTTGTCTTATCATAGGGTAAAAAAAAGGAAGTGAAATTTGCATATCCACATTACCACCGGCTTACAATTATGTTGAGAAACACAGCCAGCTGCTTAGAGAAGTTTTGTTCGTGCCAGGCCATCACCGTGCCTGATTGTACCAGGGTGGCAGCATGCAGCGCCATAAACGACGAGGGTGAGGTGGTAAGTCTCAAGAACAATGCCCGATAAGGGGGCGAACCTCGTTGGCTACATCTATGCTAGCCTGACTGCGAGTAGTGAGTGTCCAGTTGACCGTGGGTGTCGGCGCTGTTCATTGCGTAAATTCGCAGTGGTTCACAGGTGCACCACTGCATTTCTTAGCAAAGTACACTCTCCCTGTGTCGCGAACGTCGCGATGAAATACATGTACATGAATTCGGAATAACCAATTTATATTTGCATTACATGACGATGATTTTGTACTCTCTTGCTTGCTTACGTTGTGGCTGATTCCACGCTTGGGTTAGCCGAAGTCTAGTTCCCCATCGTCCTTTCTAGTGATTGATTTCATTCTACTTCGAAGTAGCTTCGAAGCAATCCTTCGTTTCTCTATTCTTTGCATTTTGTTCACAAACAAATTCTTCGTTATGTTTTCGTCCCGTGAGTATTTTCGCGCTCTTGATTTGTTTTGCTGACGCGTGACTTTCCTTTCCTTTCCTTTTGTTATGCATGACCATGATGACGTATTGGTATGACGTTTATGTGTACGTGACCACGTGACTGCGTGTTCACTAACTCCTGACTGTACAGACAGTAGGCTAGTGCATTTTAGCGATTCGCTCTCCTTGCTGTTCACTTCTTCTCCATTTCTGTTTGTCGCTGCACTAGTTCCTTTTGTTACCATGCCACGTAAATGAAGGTCGTCGTCGCCATTTTTATGCATGTTCTTTGTGCGCAGCTGCCTGTGGATGCAGCTGCCCTTTTTCCGTTAAAATTTGATCTTGTTTGAGAAAGAAACAAAGAAACAAACTTTCCAAATCAAGAAACGTAAATGTCTTTCATGTCCGTTGAGTCGGGATCCTTATGATGTCGCGAGTCACGACACCCTGCTCCCAATGCGGGTCTCGAACTCGCGACCTTGTGAATTCGCAAGCAAGCCCACAACCACTCGGCCAAAGCGCTGGTCACTCAGGGTAACTGATGAAGTCCTGGTGTTAGCTCCCGGCTAAGCGAAGTCCCCTCACATTTCCAGAACAGAGGGGTTTTGTAGTATTGAATAATGATATGGACGAAGTATTTACACAAGAGAGTAGACAAGAGTGAGAAGGAGAACAGAACAGAACAACAACACACTAAGCAACCACTGGAGCATGCGCTCTTCCACACTCGATAGGCTCTCATTACTATGGTTAAGGAGTAGGAAATACGAAAAGTGAGTACTCAGTATTGTATGGTCTAATTATATTTATACAGCTATTCCCCTGGCAAGGCTGCACAAAGTCACTATGAGACGTAGCAGTACATTGTGTTCGCTGTTATGTTCTTTCCCAGCGGGCTCATATTTCCACGTGGAAGCGTCACTACCCAGGTCTCCAGGCCGTGCCTCACTTCTCTCGCCCGTCTACACCATTCCTCGGCTGAACAACGATACCGTGTGCTTTGTCTCGTTCTTCCTGAGCCTCTATGGCAATGACATCGGCCGCACCGCCATGCAGATTCTCACGGCGAATGGAGCGGACAACACTTGGTGTTCAAACGGTCAGCACACGACTGCAACAAACTGGGCAGGCGGACTGGCCTGGTTCAGACCCGGGCCTACCGTCCAGGTGTGATTTTGCATGTTTGCTAGTTGTGTATGTGTGTGTGTGTCTGTGTGTGTATGGGGGGGGGGGGGTATTCGCAGGTGTGCATACATTGGTTATGTATGTGTGTGTGTGTGTTGGGGGGGGGGGGGGAGGGTACGTGACTGTACGTGCAATCTTGAGCACAATCATGCTTAATCCTGCCCATACAGTTGCACCGCAAAGCATGCAGCTATTTTAATAGGTGATGGTGTCAAGGAGACCAGATGTGAAACGTTGCAGTGGCTCTGTTTCCCCTTCTTGCCAGTTGGCCATCCCCGTTCTGCAACGGAGGCTAGGAGCTCAGGGGACACCAGCGCTAGTACTTGCACTACAAGACAAAGGCGATACAGTCAACCCTGTGCAACAACAACCCTGGCTGCAACCGCAATTCGAGAAGAACAGCACGATCTTCTGACCTAGTGACCAGTTGACCGCATACTGTTAACTTAACTTAATCTACCAATTAGCGAAACGCACGAACACTGAGACTGTTCTCATGTATGGTCCAGGGTTGTTATATGCAATGTTGACTCTAGACATAATGTAGTGGCAACTGTCTAGTGTGGATGTGCTGGATCTCCACTGGCAAAGCCGTCACGCTGATGCCCACAGTCAGCTGGGACATTGTGCTAAGGCGCAAGGACTGCTTGGGTACGGCTACTAGTAATGGAGTTTTCGGCACTGGGCCCAGTGATTTTCACGCTCGACTGAACCGTTATAGTGCTGCATCTGCCGCAGGTTGTCCGGGTGCAAGCAGCCACCACGAGTACCCAACGCAACACAGAAATTTAGGAATTTTACATACAGTCAACTTCGCTAATAACGACTGCGGATGTAACGACAATTCGCGAATAACTACAGCATTTCCATGCCCAGAGCAAAGTCCCTTTCAACTGTAATACATATAATGAGACTTCGGGTATAACGACACTTCGCGAAAAAGGACACTTTTTTATGCCCCGCCGAATGTCGTTATAAGTGAAGTTGACTGTAGTCATACTCCATTGGTTATTGCGCATCGACCAATGGGCTGTACAGCCACTTGTAGAGTACACCCAGGTCAGTATTGATACTACTCACCGCCCTCAGAATGCAGCTGTGTTGGTGCCTGGATAAGGGTGGTTTGAATGCATAAGTTTGGGGATTTGTCAGACGATCAAGCTTTTCAAACTTGTGCTGGTTGAAATTAACAGCACACAATTTTCTCTCATTGTGTGTTCTTTTCTCTAGTTGAATTTCACTGTGGAGCTGGGAACAAGCTTCCTCAGTGATGTCGCAATTGATGACGTGCGCATGTCCTGCTGCCAAGATGGTAGGGGAGGTCAGGCATCATCAATGTGTACAGAGCTGTGTGTAGGGCAAATGCTGCTATACATGGTTGCAAACCTCCTCCATCTCCCCTCAGGCAATATAACTACCACCAAAACCTCCCACTATCTGTCCGCGTGTCTGTGTATTGTGTATCTGTCTGTTCTGCCTGTCTGTTTGGCCACCCATCTGTCTGTCTCTTTGTCTGTCTGTCTGTCTGTCTGTCTGTCTGTCTGTCTGTCTGCCTGCCTGCCTGCCTGCCTGCCTGCCTGTCTGCCTGCCTGCCTGCCTGCCTGCCTGCCTGCCTGCCTGCCTGCCTGCCTGCCTGCCTGCCTGCCTGCCTGCCTGCCTGCCTGCCTGCCTGCCTGCCTGCCTGCCTGCCTACCTGCCTGCCTGTCTGCCTGTCTGTCTTTCTCTCTGTGTCTCGGTCTCTTTTCCTCTCCCACTCCCTCTCTCCGTCTCTCAGCGTCTGTCTCTCTGCATCTCTCTGTCTTTGTCTCTCTCTGTCTCTTGGATTTCTACTGTACAATCATTGTCTGCAAAGAAGCCACACAGACCTTAAAAAGGCTATCAAAGAAACGTCTCCACCTCTGGCAGAAATGCAGTGCTAGTGAGGAAACTATTCTGTTGTCAGCAGAATTACTTTTAACAGCCAATGAGAACTGAAAAACGCGCAAACAACAGAGAAGGAAAAGATTTTTGGAAATCAGTGCTGTTTCACTTGCCCCCTCCTACAAATATTGACCGCACAATGGGCAAGTTATCGACCTCATTCACTGTTCTGCATGTCATTTTCTGTGTTGTCTTTCCATGGTGCTCATAGTCTGCCATCACTACAAGATCCTTGACTTTGAGTGTGGCTTGGATGGTTTCCAGGGACCGGCAAACTCATCGTGGACCCGCGTTTCCATTTTCTCCCCCACTGCTGGAAACTTACGTAAGATTGCGTTGCTCTCAGGTTGCTGTTCATCTCACACACACACTTTCTTTCTTTCTTTTCTTATCTCTACTTGGTCCGCCCAGTTAAAATTGGCGCTTATCTTCTCACTTGGTTTTTTGGTGTTCTGCCTGTGCCACACGGCATGGAACCACCGATTCACCATCCGAACATGACCATTGACCATTGCATCCGACGACATGGCAGCACAAACCATCACAGAAGTTGCGATCGGTTCGTTTGAGTCTTTTTGACGGAGCTGCCGCCGACGAACACTTCCGTCAGCGCAAGAAAACACTGCAACCTCCGCTCGAGTCCGTAAAATAGGTCAGGATGTTCGCATTTCAGAGTGACGGAGAATACAGTTTCTGTCTACTTCCAGCTGTCTGATGGCAAGGATTGTTTACCCCGGGGAGGTATAGAAAAGCTGAAAAAGCGCTTCGCGAGCTTGAATTTCAGTGCTTGCACAGTACAGCGCCTAGTGAAGGGCTATCACCAGCAAATCGCTGACGAAGAAACTGCAGCTCATGTCGATGTCTCCAGTAAGTGAGACCAATCCGGCGGACACACTTTGAAGCTCACAGAGGACAGGGCAAAGGAGCTAATCAAAGGAAACACCAAGTCCTGAGCAGGGCCGGAGGAAGGAGTTCGGGAGTGGTCCGGCCAACCTTTGAGGAGGGTGCGGGGGACCTCCCCCGGGAGAAATATTTAAAATTTACGTGAAATAGAGCGAATTTGGGCATCTCTAAGGCTCCAGAAAATGCAGAAAATTATAGTAAAAGAACACAAACACAACTTTTTGTAGCCATATCAGCCACACAGTGCCGGTCACGGAGTCCTGAGCTACTTCGAAGCACATCACACGTCAGCAGTACAGTTGAGTCATGTACCTCTGGATTTTTTTACACCGGTTTTGCACGAATCACATGGACCATCCAGCTGGGAAAGTGGTCCGGCCATGGCTGGACCAGCCTGACCAGTTCCGCCGGCCCTGCTGAGAGAAACACTCGTGCAAAGGACTTTCAGGAAACTAGCCAAAAAGCCTCATGCACGGCGTTGTAGGTGCAGTACGCACAGGTGCTACATCAAGCGGAAGCTATCACTGCGCTGCATGTACAGGCACCAGCGGCTCGCGTGGGTACGGGTGCTGATCAGCAAGTACGACAAGCGCAAGAGGCGATTTGAAAAAAAGGACACTGATATGGCGTTGCCTTTTTGTCTCAAACAAAGTCGCATTATTGCGACGAACGGGGATAACACTTACAGTCAACATGCGGGCAGTCTCACTCAGCTTCTGATGGGAAGGTAACAGGCACGCACTGCCTTTGAGCGTGATTCGAGACGAGGAGAAGTGGAACAAGCTATGAAACGACCCATGCAGCAGCTGTCCGGATCGTACGTTTTGAGCTCTTCCTCCAGCGACGATAGTGGCGAGAAGGATGTGTAACTTGCTTGAATTTTCGACTGAGTTGCTTACTGACATGTAAATAATCATGTATATAGTGCTTTGTGATCGTGGCTTGCTTCAAATATTCGTATTTCTTTCCTGAGACAAGTGTGAAGATAAGCGCCAATTTTAAGTGGGCGGACCAAGTACCTTTTCGTACCATCCTATAATTATTTTTATCCCCAGTGGGTCCATTCTTACAAGGCTTTTGTCTGTTTTGGTTCCCACTGTAGACGGTTTCTTCAGTGAATGAATAGAATAGCCGTTATCCAATGGCTAAGACCCCAGGAAAGGTCTCTGTGTACGATTATTGCAGATGAATTTCAATAATTATAATAAGTGGTAGAAATGGACTAGAAGTGGAATAGATGGATATTAGCACCATCCTAGCATTGAAGTCATGTTGCAAAGTGCTCGCAGATCAATATGAACTAAAGACACTACACGTATGGGGCATTACATTTTTTTTTGTTGTGTCAAAGCATGTACACATATCTACTTGAAGTAATAGTGGAGTACTCTAGGGTCACTAGCCTAGGAGGTGCTTCTCTTTTAGCCATGCCAACTAAGGTTTTTATCGGCACGGGAAACTGGGAAGTACGAAACCAATTTTTGACGAGACAAAATCCTGTATATTATTGGTGTACTAGCTGTGCTAGTACTTGTTAGCAACAATCCGAACTAGCGCACACACTGCACTGCATTGCTTTGTACTGCATTCAAGACTGACGTCATGCGCTTTGTTTTGCTGCGTAATCACAAATGGCACCAGCCCATTTTGCGGAAAAGAAAAACAAATCTTGCTTGCCCTGTTGTGCTCTTCCAGACAACGGATCGTGCTTCAGCAGTGTTTCTTTTCCCACCATCCCTCCCTATCCAACTTATTCACACCATCATAATTATCGTACCCACTAATCGGGTCCACTCTCACAACTGGTGTTATCTAGCTATTTGCTGCGGCTCTGCCTTGCGCTATATTACATCCATTTAGCATTGCAGCTCTACGTTGAGCTAACAGCAGCTCTACTTTGAGCTAACAGCAGCTCTACTTTGAGCTAACCGCAGCTCTACTTTGAGCTAACAGCAGCTCTACTTTGAGCTAACAGCAGCTCTACTTTGAGCTAACCGCAGCTCTACTTTGAGCTAACCGCAGCTCTACTTTGAGCTAACAGCAGCTCTACTTTCTAACAGCAGCTCTACCTTGAGCTAACAGCAGCTCTATTTTGAGCTAACAGCAGCTCTACTTCGAGCTAATCGCAGCTCTACTTTGAGCTAACAGCAGCTCTACTTTGAGCTAACCGCAGCTCTACTTTGAGCTAAC